TAAGGCAAGAAGTAGGACCCGTGTAAATATCGGATCAGCTTTCCAGCGCTGGAGAGAACTCAAGGAGCAGAATGCCTGCGATCAGACGCCGAGGTTGCTTTGTTTCTTCTCGATAGGTGAGTAACACCGTGTCTGCGCCGCAACAGCTAAAGTCTGTCTAGTACACTGAACGTGGCAAAGAGACCATTGAAAATCATTTGGAATTTGTGTCAATACGTCATAAATAGAACGCAGCAGCAGTTTTCTGTCTGGGATTTGTCGTGTCGTGTCGTGCCGCGCCGCGCCGTGCCGCATCCAGTGTAGACCATAGATATGTATATATATCTATGGTGTAGACCGCATCACTGATTATAATGAGTTCCATAGTATTTTGTCATGCCGCGCCACTTGCGTCCGGTGTAGACACGGTGTAACATTGGTTTTGCTTTGTTTCACAGAACTAATCGGAGAGCACAGACGAGGCACGATCAAGCCCCAGAAATGACAGTGGAAACGCAACTGGCCCTGACACACACTAGCACGCTCACTTTTGGCCCGACAGCAGAGGCGGACAGTAACTAAGTACATTCACTTGAGTATTGTACTCGAAGTATTGCAAGTATTACGTACAACAATAAAACAGTGCATTGCCATAAAAAAGTACATTTACTTTTGGTACTTAAGTACTTTTAAAAGCAAGTACTTCTGTACTTTTACTTGAGTAAAAATCTGTCTTTACAACTTTTACTTGTAATGGAGTAATATTTGACCAGCAGTATCTGTACTTTCACTCAAGTAATGGAGTTGAGTACTTTGTCCGCCTCTGGGTATAAGGAGGTCATTCTAACCATCCAAACCTTGACCCTTGATTTTAATAACACATCCACCATGAGGGGGTGACCTGCCTTATGTAGAAAATATATTTGTTGAAAGTATGGATCATTTCTTTACAGGAAAAACTTTTATACAATGTCTTTCTCTGCATGCTCCTGCTTAAATATGTCTCAGGTCAGTGACCAAATAGCAGTACCTGTGTGAATCTCTGAAAATCTAATACCTTTAGGCAAAACCATTAGAAAAAATAGCAGATAGTCAATGTTTGGCCTGTAGCCTGATTTCATGTATGTCTCTACCCATGCTGTCTTGACAAACAAGGCTTTGGCTGTAACTGGAAATTCAAGTCTAACTAATACATGCAGAGACACCATAGGAACATGCTTACTGGCACTACATTTCTCACAGAAGTCTTATTCACATGGCACAGCTCTAGAACAGTCTCTCAATCATCCAGGCCACCCCATAAACCCATAAAATAATTTTAAAACCACTTGAATGACTTTTCTTTCAAACTTTTTCTATTTAGCCACAACAAGATGAATGGCAATTTCTGTTGTGGTTCAGAAGTCTATGACCACCACAACCAGTTGTTGAGATGCTGCTCAGGTCATCTCTACAACCTAACACGTTTAAGTGGGGAAGCAGAGTGCTGTGGAAACCATCTGCTGGAATATAAGACACAAACTTGCTGTTCTTCCTCTACTAATGCCATAATTTATGACACCAAACCAAACCACCATTGCTGTGGGCATTACTACTACAACACGTCCCTGTGGAGCTGCTGTGCTGAACATCTCAAACCAACACCAAAGCCTAACAGCTCCCCTGCAGAATACAGGCTGAAACCACTAATGGACCTGATCCCTGAAATGTGCAATAAAACAGGTGATGTTCTTGAACATTTATTGTGGTGCAACCTAAAATACCAAACTTTTTTTTTGTACGTTGACCAAATTATCTTGTCTTTTTGTGTGTGTGTGTGTGTTTCTAGTGTTCTTTGGCAAAGTGGAGAGTTTGGCACTTGAAAATTATCAGCGTCTCATTGTGTTGAAAGTTGTTGGACAGGTCGATGTAAAATCGGAAAAGGTCATCAAAGACCCTTGGCTTTATGTGTCCCTGGATCACTGCAGCTCTCCTGCCACAGAAAACGGCATGACCTACCTTTGGGAGGAAAACCACGATAGGAAGTACAAGCTTCTCTCTCACCCTGTTGACCTAACCTCTGACATTCACATGTTCTATGCTGTATGTTACCAAAAGAAGGGATAGAACTATGGATTGAGGTCTACAGTATATATTTTAAGTGGCACTGCATGACCTAATAAGCATTTTTTTTAATCATGCTGTATATTATCAGTCTCAGGTCTGTTCCAATTCTGTTCATTTTTTTTTTAACAATTTGACAAGTTCAAGGGCATTTACATACTATAGCTCAAAGGTGCTCAAACGCAATTAATTACTTTTATCCTAATCCTTGAAGACAGCGGTTATTTCATATAATTTTTTATATTTTAAAATGTTAATATAACAACAGCTCAAATATAAGCTTCATGTAGCTATGCATTTATTTTTAATATTATTAATTATTATTGAATTGCTTTTTTTTTTTTTTGACCAGTTTACAGGTTTGTTACTACTTGCCGAACAGTTATCCTCATTCATTAACCATGCATACACCAAATTTCTGTAAAATCTGTGTACACACATTATACAGAAATCTCGATTCATCAGTAAATTTGCACTAAAATGTATTCTAAATGTATGACTTAATTTAGAGACAATCATACATCACTGTGTTAAGATGAATTTTCCTTTATCTGTCTATCTCATCTCATCTGTCTGTCTAATACATGTAGTGATTTGGGAGTTTTAAATTTCTCCAAACTCTTACATAGTTTTCAGTTTCCATATACAACTTAAAAGTAATGTTGTGTGAAGAAAGTTTACTTGTTCAAGTTGTATTATGGTATTGCAGATATGGAATGTGAAAAA